ACGAGCCTGATGGGATTATGTTTCACATTACTTCAGGCTAGACCTAGGGGTTTTGGGATTATCACTTAGATAAAATCCATTGGTGATTTGGTAGGATTTAAACCCAGGACCTCAGGGACTGAAGTCCTGCGCTCTAAACACCAGACCAGCTCGCTCCTGAGTTTAAGAGGGTAAGTTGGACTCTTTTCCATTCAGGAAAGTCTGCTATCCTCACAAAAAATTATTTGTTACATCCATATGTATTAAATTGAATACTGGAATAGTATGATGGATCAGCCATAGCCAATTATTCATTCCAACAGAACATGGTTGACTTGGTCACATAGGGCCCCAGTGTGCTCCTTTCAAAGCTTTTTTTTCTACCTACATATTTTACTGGGATAGTTTATGTGACATACATTCTTTAGTCTACAATAAGTTGTCTATTCTGTTACACTTGTTTAAAACTATAAATTCAACAGAAACCAGCAATTTACACCAGTGCACTCTGTCAGTTGCACAATCCAACTACGTTAATTTTTATTCTAGAACTTACTACAACTTTAACATAGGAATGGAATGTCTAGTTTTGTTCGCAGCCAAAGCAATCACCTAATCCACAGACATTATCGGTGTGTTCAAATTACTCTCTCTTTGGTGAATCGGTAGCGTCAAGGACTTTGGGCGGAAAGTGGCGATGTCTTGAGTTTGGATCCTGGTCACTGCCGCAAACATATTATCAGTACAGTTTACTCTTGTACTGTACTGGCTCACCCCTTTGCTGGATATGTTCCACGTACGGGCAAATAGTCTTTGTAGATGAGCAATGCAAGGTTAAAAGAGGCCGCCAACCTCTTTAAAAAATTTTGTTATTTAAGCCCCAAAATCCTTTATTTAGAACTTTGAATATCTTTGTAGCATAACTCGACCAAAAGGGTAAAAACTGCCACAGTTGAAATCTTGGAGACAAGCTTTTGGACTACTTCACTGGGTTGTTCAGTTTATCCTATAGTAATGTAAGGACAGTTTAAGCCTACTCACATCGAAACTTTCTTAATCTACAATCTATGATAGTGTCTGCTGGTTAAGAGTTTTCTAACTTTTGTTGCTCTTCGTAATTCCTGGACTTCCAATACAATCATAATTGTAAAAACAACCCGATCAGTAGTCTAATTTTTTTATTTCATGACTAATCGTGATTATTTATGGAAAACATAAAATTTAAAAATAAACTATCTTGGAGAATGTGTAAGGGTCAGTCAGAACATTTTCCTTTTCTTTTCACTTACTTGGGCTTGGTAGAAATTCCCCATTTCTAACTGGATTGTTCTCGCTTGCCTGTGAACTTCTGAGTCCCTGATTCCAGCCTGAAAAATAAATAAGTTGCAATATGAAAATGACGAATAAAATCAATAGTCTTAGAAGCATTTAAATCTATGGAGGATGTTAAATTGGACCTGTATATTTGTACATTTACTGATCTGCCTGAGTATTTGTTGATCAACTATATTAGAATCCCTCTTTCTCCTAATCTAAATTCAAACATAATCCCCAAACCATCAGAAATTAATACAAAGGTGTATTAACTGCTATCCACATAACAAGAAAGATTTTCTTTCCCCAATTTAAATCTTTATTGGTTGAAAATGTGTTCAGTAACAGTGAAACATTCTAGTTTTTGTGTATGTTAAGGTTAAGTTTTTTGTGCCAGAACGGACTCCTCTCTATTCAAGTAAGCATGCTATCCTGTTTTGTTAATCAATGACTAAAAATTCCCTCAATAATCCGTTAGACATAATCTCACCATTTATGCAATAACGTGCTATCCTCACCATGTATAATGCCAGTGACACGGGCAGTTTGAATGAGTGATAGGCATTCCTATACTTGGATACTGTGTTGTAAGTCGTCATGTCAAACCTACTTAGCGTCGGGTCTCCCCTGGTTTCCATGTCCAATATCTTCCCAAGCATTGCCTTCTCACCAACCTGTTGGAAAATAAAATCAAACACATCAATAGATTTGAATTTGTAGTAAGTTTTTGTATTTTTTAATTTATTTTGTGTTTGGATTACTGTGGATAATGGTGTGTTAAAACACTTTCCATTTGTGATATAGCTATTTTTCGTAGACTTAATCTGTATTATCATTTTGAGTACAGTTGGAGCCTACTATTTTTTCCTACAGTCACCCGACAAAGTGGGTTTTCTTGCACTGATTGTAGGCCTAGTACATAAAGCTGCTAATTGCTGGATTTACTTACTTTTGCCGCACACCTTTTACTTTGTCGCACAGTTTTTTTTTTTTTGCCACACACCAGTATTCCTCCAACAAAACAACACAATTCAGTGTGCTTTTATTATGCAAGTAATCCGTGTACACTTGAAAATAAGTGGGCAACACTTAAAGATATTACGACTACGATCAGCTGGTGCAGCGTTTCCCATTTCGTTCAATGTTTGGACTTAATCTAACCTAAAAACGTGTTGTTCAGTGTTTGAAAGACTAATTATTAATATGATTTATATAGTAACTATAGGAAAAATATAATGTGTAACACGATTGCAAAGTGCCACTTCGGCCACTAGTTACAAAAATAACTAGTCCAACATTTCTTTCTTTTTCAAGTTTTGTAATTTAAATTATTAATCTTATATCTGTATTTAAATTAAACTTATTTAGATATCTTGCAAAAAAACATTATTTTACCTCAACCATGAAAGAATATCTATCAAAACAATAACATGTTTATCAAAGTTTAATGAGTATATCAAGGTCTTGTTTTCAAAATAGGGTGCTATGTTTTCCTCGTTTGATAAAAAAAAAAACTAAGGGGAAATTATTATGAATTAAATAATAATCTATCCTATGATCATGGTACAAAAATAAAACCTCAGCACTTAATAATCACCTATTTAATTGAAAAGTTTAATAAAATTATACATTAAAACTCAAATGCTAATCTATCCTAAAACCCTTATTCAATGTTGAGCTGAAAACAATAAAAATTAAAAAAAAATTATTCTCTTCAACTCCTGAAGGTTGCTGATTCAATCCCAAGGGAGATAGATTCTGGAGCCAGAAGTCATTTGAAATAGGGCATGAATTAATGATGCTATACTCATACTGTTATAAATATGTTATAAATCAAATAAATTCAGGTCTTTGTGTGATTAGAAAAATGCCAAAACCATGCAGTATTGAAGTTTTAAAAATGATTTATTTTTCCCATATATCTTATGGCATGTGTATATGGAGCCACCTAAAATTTGAATCTAGACCAGATTTTGACAATACAGAAGCAATCACTCAGAGCTATGTTAAAAATGAACAAAGATGATTCTGCAAAAGAACACTTTAACTTTAAATGTTTAAGGATCCTCACTGTTTATGGTTTGTATGTTCTTGAATGAATTATGTTTGTCAAAAACAAAAATTTCAATCCACCAATTAAAGAAAATAATCATAACTACAATACACGTTACAAAAATAACTTTGTAATTGTAAAACATAAATTAGAGCTCTTAAAAAAAAAGACTTAATGCAGGACATGAATTTTTAAAATTTATTCCTTTGAAAATTAAAACAGAAGAAAAACCCAACATTTAAAAAAAACGTCTCAAAGGAATATTTAATGGGCCTAAAAATGGCCTTTTTTAATGGGTCCTTGTACTCTTTAGACGAATTGAAAATGGCTTTATCATAGTTTTAAGCATTAGTTTTAACTTGTATGACACTTACTATTCATGTACAACCATGTATACTATGAATAAAGATACTTGACTATGACTATACCGTATAACTAAAGTTTTCCTTACAAAACGTAAAAAATGTCAATGGTGTAGAAATACCAAATAAATAAACCACATCTTTCTTTCAAATACACAGGATAAAAAGTTTCTCAAACTAAAACACTTACTGTGTGAAATAGCTCGAGAGCATCAATGTAGTAGTCCTTCTTGCGAAAGTGTTTCTTAAGTAGTTTGTAGATGCTGTAGTCCAACAGTCTGGCGGCTCCGTCGGGAGCTTGGCGGGGATTTTGAAGATACCAGCAAGGCTTTCCCCGCCTCTCACGGGCCTGGTCTATCAGGTCCTGAGTTAGGACTAGGCTGGTGTGCAACTGAAGATAAGGAATGTGGAACACAATGTTAGTAATTGACACATTTGAGTAGTAGGGAAACATGACTGCTAGACACAAAGTAACATCAGCTGAGATGAATGTTAGCCAACAATTACACAAACTCAGCTGGCAGGCCATAAATAAAAGTTCGGTCTTTCGGGAGACTTTTGAAAATAGTGAATCAGAGTTAGGCTACAATTAGCGGATTTCAGGTCAACGGAAGTCAAATAAGGGCTTGGACCGTTCAATAAACGTTGGAAAAATTGTCTGATGATGTTGGGGCCATCTCGGCCACCACCACATCCCACCTTCAAAAATTTGTCTCTTCAATCTACTTTTTGAAGTATTTCTATACTAGGACGAAATATCAGTATTATTTTTCAACCTTTCATTGAGTATCTATCAGTCCCTGGACTCAAATTTTCTTCGTCAAGCTAGCTGAATTATATCCCTTTTTGAAAAAGTTCGTAATAGGTGATAAGTTATTCCCTGACTAAAAGTCACTCACCAGTTCCAAACACCACCCCATCACTTGTGCCAGTTTCGTGTTGGATGCTATATTGTCCTCAGGTGCTGCTAAGATATGATAAGACTGTACCACAGCTAAGCCTCGACTAAGACTGCCTCCACGCATGTTGTATTGTAGAACCTGTAACAATAGAGACTTGTAATTTAATTTTGGATTAATTTGATGAAAAAGGAATGATTCAAAGTCTTGTTGATCTCAATATTTTTGTTTACACTCCAAAAGTGACGTTGGGGGTTTAACGTTTAGATACTGCATGAGAAAAAACATAAACCTATTGGACATCTCACTATTACTTCATGGTGGAAAGAAAACATACCATCTTGTCAAAAAGTAATTTCATAATGTTTGTAGGAACAAAAGAATCAATACTAACCAGAAAAAAACCAAATTAATTGAAATTTTATTACAACAATCTTCACAGGAAAAATCTATAAATATTCGTCTATACCTTACAATCCAAACACAATTTGTTTACTTATTTCAATTTTAAGCATCAGACAAAGGTGGATATGAAGTTAAATCAATAAAATTACTAAGATACATCACTGCACTCCTTAAAAACTTTAATCCATCAACATCCAGCATTGACTGAAGAAAAACCATATTGACATATATTTTGAGTTGTAGAAACAAAAATTTTGTAAGGTAGAAACAAAACATTTCCAAATATTAATAACAAACTAATTTACCTTCTTGAACCATTGGTTGGCAGCCTCCGTGTCAGCGTATCGTTCTCTCATCTCAGTAAGGGCTCTCTCGATGTCTGGGTAGGCAGCCTGGAACTCCGCAAGATCTGCCGAATATTGTGAGTCTGTCTGATAGTCATCTTTGGCGAGGATTACGGAAGCTGCGGTGTCTCTGAATAACAAAAATAGTTGGTGATGTCTCATGCTGATAAGATGAAAGACTGATTCATCTCGGGTGTTTTTAAACCAAAGTAATAAGCTAACATTACCAGAGTAAAGTTAATAAAGGAGTGTTCAATGAGCAAGATGACAACTTTGTTACTCACTAAGATCAGCTGGTTTAACCTTTATATATTTTAAGTCCAATGATCGTTTGAAAATCGAGCCACAAAATTATTAATGCACCAAGTTACCATACATATTTAAGAAACATACTAGTGAACTTGTGCGGCTCAATGCCCCGCAAAAAACATATGAATTTAGAAAACAAATTCATCGCGTTAAATATATTGACTCGAAGTCGAAAATTAAATACAGTAATAATAGAAGGGAAGCAGTCCAGTCATTTTTAGCTGTATGTATTCTTGTGCTGCAAATGCCAAAGATAACCGAAATTAGCATCTTTCCATTTTAAGAGGTAAGTTTGTTTCAGACGGGCAAATTTTTATCCTCGAAATCAAAATATGTCCCTACTCACTTGTTCCAGTTAGGACTTTACATTCTACTTTACATTGTTGTTAACCGTTCTGATCACATGAAGCCTTGTGAGGCCCTTTTTGATGAATTAATATCAATAAAACCACTGCCCCCTTTTATTAGTATAATCTGTGTCTTGGCAATCCACTGACCTCTATATTTAAAAACTCAGTTGGAATTTCTAGATGGGTGTCTCCGCCTTCGTCTGTTTTCGAGGACTCACTCTTCTTCCCCTTGGCATACTGACAATTAATTACCTAACTTGTCAAGTTCATGTAGTAATTCATTAATACTGTTAGTTTATATAGAAAATTAGATAGAAGTTACTTGGATTGGTGCTTTCAAAACTACTAACTCAAAATACACCCAAGTAAAAAAGAATCAAGTTATTGGTTAAAAAAACTATGTTTGTGTAAAAACATTATTTACATGAAGTAGATGATTTATTTGATTTCACGATCAGCTGTTTCGTTTCTAATGAATTAGTAATGTCAAAGATTTGTGATTTTAAATACATCAATTATTATAATAAGGTTTTCTAAATCATGGTAACTTATTCTCAACTAAATTTTACTATTCCCAGCATTAAAATAAAGTAGTGAGATCCATTATGAGTAAACTTTAAGGTACACAATCCTTGATTGAAATATAGTATACATTAACAGTCATAATACACAGCAATTATTATGTAGTAAACTTTGACTATTTTCAAGTAACAAACATATGTTTGTGTAAATAAAAATTATCTCCCATGTTATCCTTATGGAGAAATACGAAACTTTAAAGGGCCCCAGGGCCTCACTCTCTAATTATTTCCCTAAAAAGAAAGTTTCCTGCACAACTTCACGTTACGCTCTTTCCAATGACACCAAAAACTTGTCAATCGGTTCAATAGTTTCGGAGGAGTAATTGTCACAAAAAACCTGCTTGCGTATTAAATAAGTACGAGAGGTCGTCCAGTGGTCGAAACTCGACCAAAAATATGTAATGTAAACTTACTCACTTCTTTATTTTCACCCCACACTGTATAAATAAAACATGTGATTGGAGTTTCTTCCATTTGTTTTGATTTTCTGTTTATATTTCGTTGTTATTTCGTCACCACCATGGCAACGCATAAGATCCATGTTAATTTTTTCAAATTTTTAAACACATTTTTTGTGCTTATCTTTGAGCCTATTTAAATTTATAAAGGGATTCTGCACACCTACAGGAAAATAGCTTTCTAACGGTATGCGTAGATTTACCCCACGATGCACACGAGCTGAGAAAAAAGGTTTTAAAGAAACATGCTTGCCTATTAATATATAGATAGATAGATTTAATGTTTCTGTTTAGAAAATCAGTAGTTTTTTTGTAGCTGTTTAGCTGGACATAGTTTTGAATGATCAAACAGCTGGACACAGTTTTGAATGATCAAAAGGTTTCTGAATTTTCTCAGGATTGAATAGACAATCTGATCAGTGAGGACATTGACTGTGGCAAAAACAGGAATTTGAGTTTTGTTTTGGGATACGTTCAAGGGATGTTCAGAGAGGTTCTTCTGTTCACGATTGACTTGGTAGATTATTTGTGGAGAGAGAAATCAAAATACAAATACCAGAATGAAAAAAAAATGTGATCTGAAGTAAATATTTTATACCAGACAATAGACAAATAATATTCTTGATTTACAAATTCATTGCGAATAGTATATCATCATGGAATTATAGCTGCGACAATAGATTTGCAAGGTGTAGAATTAAAACTACACTAATTAAGAGTCTTCCGTAGTGGAAGCCATGTTGGATTTCTTCCCCATAAGAACAATGTTAGAATTGCATCATTTGTGGACACGTAACGGCGTTATTTGTTAAGATATAGCTTTGAAATTTATAATTTGTATTTTTAACATAATAGACTCGTGACTGAGGTTTTTGAATTTCGAAAATCCATTTTCATTTCCTTTCAATAATTAGCTTAATTTTAAGCTAAATTATAATCAATTATTCATTATAAAAATTAAAAATTTTGAAATAAAAAACGTCAATCTCTAGAGGACCGCAATTCCTTAAATTTAATTCCTTATCCATAATTATATGACAATTTGCTGATGAGATATTTGGACCCAAAGTTAACATTGTTCTTATGGGGAAGAAATCCAACATGGCTTCCACTACGGAAGACTCTTAAGAGGAATTGTAAAGTTAAAAGGTTAACTTGACCAATTTAATGGAAAGAGCTTGTTATAAACTAGGCAAACTAATTAAAGGCAGGAATTATCAGTAAATAATGAGGGTTTAATTAACAACACATACATTTTAGTGATATTAATTATAAAGGAACTAAAAGTGTTGGATGGTTGAGTTTAATTGATTTTGCAACAGAAGTTTATAAAAAAACTTTTTAAAGTCAATATTTTAAAACCCCTTTGTTTTGAATAAATAAGGAAAAAATACAAAGTTGCATTTTTAACAATTCTCTGGTTGACATTATTGATTTAGGGTACTCTGCTATGCAATTAAAGCCATAAATAACTTGCTAATTAAAGTAATCAATCACAAAATATCCTTGAGTTTTAATTGCTTTCCAAAACCAGACGTGATTAACTTAAAAACAGTTGTTAATATCACCAACAGAAGTCAAAGGGCAAGATAGCAGAATAACAACAAGTGCATTTCAAAAATATAGAACAGCTGATTAAAACCTTGTTCTACTATTGAATTGTGTTGAGATTATACTTGAACTTTAGCTGAAACCATCTATTTTTAAATTCACCCAGTGCAAACATATTTAATGTTTCTGGTTGGAAATTTATAGTTTCATGTAAAATAAAACTTGACTACTAATACTACTCAATTACCCAGCTTTGTAAAAGTATGTTTTGACACTAAAAAGCACCTACCTATACAAACATGGAGTAAAACGATAACACAAATGAGCCTCCCTCACATTCCAAACTTTACGCAAAGCTCTAGTAAACATAGGTAGATTCATTGTGAACCAAAAGGGTCATTATATGCAAATCATGTTCATCAAAACCTTACTAACTATGCTGTGTCTCTGAGTTCAAACAACATCTAACATTATCACTCAAGTACAGATAAGTAACTGGTAGACACAAATATTTACTACTCCAGGTGAAGTGCACTTATCTTCTGCGTGAGCGTCTAATATCTGGGTTCATTCAACTATCTAGATCGGTGAGCTTCCGATAACACCCACTATTGCGGCTTATTGTACCCTTAATCCGTTGATCGCTCATTGTTATCAGGTTGTGATAAAGGGGCGGAATTTATGACAACAGGAAGTACCGCAGTGTTTGAGGATGTGAGTGTGGTACAATTTTATTTTATGAACTCCAGAATAAAAACCTTTGACTATTAATACAACTAGACATTCCATCCCCATGTAAAATTTGTAGCCAGATTGTTTATCAAAATCGTTGTAGTTGATGTGAGCACCATCAGATTCTGCTGACCTAAATTACAAAATTCTGTCGAATACACAAACTTTTTACCAAGTTGAAGTTAAACTTAAGGAATGTCTTATGGTGAGCTGTAGCAACTGTTATGACCCATCAACGTGGTCAATAACAAAAAATAAGGTGTAAATTACTTTTAGGTGTTTTACTTTCTCTCCCTATACCATAGTATATGGAGAAAGTATTGTTTTCGTCAAAATTTTCGAGTTTGAGTGGATATATTCGTTTTGGGTCCCCCTGGACCCAAAAAAGTGGTTTTCTAAGTGATGTCTGTGTGTCTGGATGTGTACAGAGCTAGGGACTACACCTGTGGTCCGATTTTGATGAAATTTGGTATGTAGGTTCTAATTCATGGTATCTCAAAGGGTTTTTTCATTTTAGATTTTTAATGGGGATTTTCCCATAAAAAACCGGAAAAATCGGATTTTCTCAAAAATGGCCTGAACGATTTTGAAAAAAATTAGTATGTTGTAGCCCTTTAAATTCTGAACAAAATGGTACAAATTCCATTTCTGTAAAAATTAAGGTTAAAAAGTTATTGTAAATTATGTTATTTTCCCATAAAATAACAAAATTAGGATTTTAGAAAAAAATCCGGTTTTGATTTAACATAGTATTTTATGGTCCTTACAATTTTTAGTGTTTTTTCATTTTTTAGAAATTTTGATTTTTAATGGGGATTTTGCCATAAAACCCCATAAAATAACGGAAAATAGGATTTTTCCAAAAATGGCCCGAACGGTTTCGATAAAAATTTTGTATGCTACCTCTATAGTCCTTTATATTCTGAACAAAATGGTACAAATCCCATTTCTGTAAAAATTACGGTTCAAAAATTATTGTAAATTATGTTATTTTCCCATAAAATAACGGAAAAATCGGATTTTCCCAAAAATGGCCGGAACGATTTTGATAAAAATTTAGTATGTTATAGTCCATTAAATTCTGAACAAAATTGTACAAATCCCATTTCTGTATATTTACTCTCTCCGCTTACCCAAAGGTTGTTGACAGGCTTATGGGAGAAAGTATGTGTCAGAATGCTGATAACATTTATTTTAATAACAAATTGGCGACAGCTGGTCCATGTAAATGGGATGTCCACTTCAGTATCCAATAGTCAATGATAAAACTTTGACAATCAAAAGGTTTCTAGTCTCATTACAAGAAAAGTCAGTATAGCTTTCTATTGGTTTGGAAAGGTTCTTGTAGACAAAATTGTTTTATCATTCTGTATCACTCTCTATTTATCTATTAACAGAAAAGATAATTCTTAAGCATGAACTAAAGCTGAGTGGATTATAGCTCGCCTTCAAATTTGAATGTTACTGGTTTGATTTTATGAGGGGTTTGTTCACAGTCAGAGTAGCCATTGTCATTGGTACAAGTGCTTTCTAAAAAAAGTCAAAGTTAGATGTTAACAAGACCGTTTTGAGTTGTTAAAAAAACATCAGAGTCGGCACTGATACAAAATTTCACAATCATTATAAGACTTAGTAACATTCGAAAACACTCGTACCATACCAAAAGGTTAGATTCTCTCTATCAGAAACTTTTGACACTAAATTAAATTTTTTTAAAGCTATTGTACAAAATAGATTATAATATTGTTACCTGAGGCGCGGCTTTTGTAGGTAAGAACTGGAGAATGAACGGTTTTTATGACTTTTGACCACTGATTGCACTGAACGCCACACTGTTAGCCTCATGGCTACTCACTGACCAGAGCAGTTATGTCAATCACTCCTGTCTTATCATTCAAGGTCACCCTCTTCTCCTCTCGCTAGATAACTTTATAAACAATCTTTGAATAATATTTTTATTGAGGTATCGAGAAGTCAATGGAGTAAATAACGTGTTAATAATTAGAATAATTTGTCAAAGTTGCCTAAGAATCGGTTTTAGTGACTTGTTAACGATGTCAAAAATGTCTGGGGTGGTATAAGCGACAATTTGCATTTCATAAAAAATGTTAACGAATTAGGTACCGTAGAATGGGGTGAATAGAAACACTTTTTGACTTTTAAGCTTCTGTAAAAACGATATTTTTAATTTTTGAATTTTCAACACTAGCTAATATTTTCGGTCTTGGACTCCTCTACTTAAACCAGTTATCATTTTTTTTCTTTTTAATCATTAAGCAGAAAAAAAATAAAATATGGCTGTTTCTATTCACCCCGCACTTTGGGGTGAATAGAAACACTGTGTTAAATTGATGATTGTTGCTTTTCCCCACTTACCAGGGGCAATAGAAACATGACATTTATGCTTGTTAGCTTAGTTTGTTGTAAATAAAAATATTTAAAGTTAATTAACACAATTAAGTACGAAGTATAAAAACATCGTTTTCATAAACCCTTATCCAAACAAATCGGAAAACATAAATGACAATGGGTGAAATCAGAGTTACAAAATCTTACATAGAAACCAACTAAATGATGAGTAAAATCAGACAAATCTTCCTCAAAATACAACACTCCCTTAAATTTACAAGTTGTACACGGCTTGGGAGTTGGAAGCCGACGTACTACGTCATCGACTTTGAAGAGGGCCTCTTAATCTGTCTCTCAGAACTTGTTGGTTTGCGCAATTTTCTTGATGAATCTTCCTATTTATCCTTCCTCGTCAAATTCAATAACTTTTGCAACATATAAACGATAGCAAGTTTTGTTTTTCCCCATTACTTTGACAATTACATGATCATGAAGGGACAACTTTGAAGACTCACTGATGTCTTGAGCTAGGTATGCTGGTTCTTCTTTATCAAATTGTTTGTCTTTGTCACTTTCTCCAGTGAGAAGTGTGTGTGTAATCATCTTCATCTCTGGTATATTTTTTTCTTTTTCGGGGGGTTTTCAGGTCAACCTTTATTTGCACCACTGGTTCCAAAAAAAGTGTTTCTATTCACCCTGGTTTTGCAAAATCATGACATAACCTAAATAAAAAATAAAATAAAAAAATATAGTTTATTCTAAGGCTAATCTATTAACACACTTGGTTTTAAGATACCTAAGACAACATAAAAAATGGTTATTAACATAAATACATGTAATAGGTTCATACTTAGAGAGAAAGTTTTGAAAAGAATGTTTTTCGCCAAAATTTTCAAATGATGTTTCGCATCATCCAACATCCGAAGCAGTGATACCAATATGCTGAAATAATTTTTCCCAGGTAGATAGGATATGGTTATAATGGGAGAAAATAATTCCCTTATATTAATCAATGTATAACAAAGTTATAAAAATGTGAATCATTCATTGAAGTTTTGTTTCTATTCACCCCATTCTACGGTATTTAAATCCCTTGAAAATGCTTAATGAATGTTTACTGCCTTCTGTGACCTTTATAATCCTACCAGGTTTAGCATTAGATTATGGAACATCATATGTTTATTGTTTAGTGTTTGTTAACATTCGTGATATTTTTTAACATTTTTTGGAAGGGATCAGTTCATACCATAGTTACTACAGGGTGTGCCAAAACAGATTAAACACTTAACTTGTGCAGTACTTCGGCTGTGGAGGTGGTAGGTGGATTGGATACGTTTGGTATTGTTACTCAGCTGGAGTGCTACACGAGCAAAGTGCTTTTCCATTTTGCCCCATCCTTTATAATACTACCCAAAAACTAAATAGGGATATCCAAAACTCCTTGTATATGAACTAACCAAATATTGTTCCTAAATTGTTCACTTCACATTAAAACATTTGTAAATAATTAAGGCCATGGAAAATCTTTTGTTACAGTGATTCTTAGCATGCAACATTTCAAATGTGCTCACCTTATAGTCAACCTATAAATATGAGAGGAATTTCATAATTCTTTACTTCCCACTTATCTTTGTAGACATCTTTAACATTACACTTTTATTCCCTTCAAATTAAAAACTTATGGAAGCACTAGCTGTAACCCGCGGGCTTTGCCCCGTTTAACTTCTTAATTTTCAAGATTATCTCTTTCGCATGGCTCAATCATGTCCTGGTTGAAGTTTGTTCGCTACGCTCACTCACCTTTAGTTTGGAGCTCGTTCGCTACGCTCACTCACCTTTAGGTTGGAGCTCGTTCGCTGCGCTCACTTGCCTTCAGGTTAGCTCGTTCGCTACGCTAACTCGCCTCCAGGTTGAAGTTCGTTCGCTACGCTCACTCACCTTTTGGTTGCAAATTAGCTGTTGTCATAAATGTAAAAGAAATAATAGTGCTGCACCCTGTTGGTAATCCTTGTAACTTTAATGCTATTGAACATCACAGAACAGAACCAACTTGTTTAATTGAAACAGCTGTTAAGATTCAATAATTCCATTTCTCATAAGGTTAACATGGGAAACTCCAGAGCCACTGGGGCGGAGCCCGAAAGGATTTTTGAAATAAGAATATGCCTATATGTTAATCGGGAATGTGAGCTATCATCATGCCAAATTTCAGCCCAATCCGACCAGTATTTTTGCGTTCACTTGTCACAAACATACATCCATACATCGATACATCTAAACTTTCTCATTTATAATATTATTAGTAGGATTTACAGGGGCAATGAAACACACACATGTTTAAAGCAATTTATTACTCTTTAGTTATGCATAATTCTGTACAGGAGATGGTGTGAGATAATTTACATGAACTACAACTGAATTTACGCTACGTGATGTGACTCGTGCCGCTACCAAGTGAACTAACGACACCTCGGAAAGCACTTTTCACCAAGTGATGTCACCATCTCACTATCAATAAGCGGTTAAGATTTTAACAGCTTATTGATAGTTCTCTGTTAAACAGCTGATTTGGTGAAAAATGTCTTATCTACAAGTATCTGATATGCTTCCCTGCTTCGGCAGCTCAAGCATAACAACATGTCAAACATCAAAGGACTTCCGAAAGCAGGTTGACCTTTCCAGCCCTGAGTTTTGTATTTACATTTCGGGTTTTCTCTATTCAACAGTTGCAATCTCCTGTTTTGTAAATTTTAAAATCTTTGACAAGGATAGAACTAGACATTCCATTCCATAGTTGCATCCAGTTTTGCAACTAAATTGAACATAGATGAATTGAGTCACAGGCAGAATGTACTGATGTAAATTAATGATTTCTGACTAATGCATCTACCTTTGAACAGTTTCAACCAAGACTAGATGAAAGGACTGCTCGTTGTAAACTATTACACATTTTCCACATCAACTATCACAGTAAAAAATAATATTTCAGACTGAATTTCATTTTGTAAGTGACTCGTTTAACTATGTCCTTAAAAAAACAATTACAGCTGGTCGGTCCATATAGATGGGATGTCTACTTCAATATCCAATAGTCAACGTTAAACCTGCATTACTAAACAATAATTTTTAGGGAAGACGAGGAATAGTTATTGTTTTAATTTAAAAATAAAAATACATATTTTTTTTAAATATTGATTTGCGCGTGGGCCACCCAATTAAAACAGGTACTGTAAGTAAAGGCTTTGAAGAGCTAACAACTAATATATCTATACTTAACACTAATGTGACAATAAATAAGCAAATATGCAAATCTCAACAGATCTGAACTCATGGCACTTTAACGAAACTGTGTTATGGAATTAGATAAAACACATGAAAACCACAACCAATTCTACGCCCGACAAAACAAAACTACCTAAAAGTTAAACTAGAACCTGTTGTAAGCTCTCAAATTAGATCGTTGTGTTTAACAATCCTGAGAAAACATGAATCTTAACACTAATCAATAACAATGATTGCGTATAATACAATTAGGGTAAAACTCACTTAAAGGTAGCTCTGATTGAGGAAAAGAAACAAAGAACTTCCAGTATGAGTTGAAAGAAACACTAAGAATGATTTCATGAAGTACTAAAACTATCAGTTTCAAAGAGTAAGCACCATATAAAGCTATTTTGTAGAATTTCGACAAATTATTGTTTGGATTTTTTTAAATTACTTTAACGTAAAGTGTTTTTAAATTGTTCTGTTGCTTAACACTCTTACTATATACAAAACATTGAAAATACAATATACAAGCTCGTTTTAAATACTATTTTAGGTTATTATTTTAACTTACAATTTTATAACACGACCTCAAGAGTCAAATGGAATGTTCATAATTTTTTTTTTAATCACTAGATAGTAAAGTACCTTGTCTTCGGTTTCAAGATTTCATACGAGAAGGAACATATTTCCCCATACATGTTTCTGACGCAAATAGTGAAAAACTGTAAAATTTCAGATCTGGATCAAAAACAAAATGTATTCAGTATGTCTGGCTTAGAAGAGAACAATTTAGGGTTGAACACAATATTTTTAGAATGAGGAAGTACCGTACAATAGACACGAACTATCCTAACATGTATTTTGATTACACAAATGGCACGACATAAGACATACTCACTTTCACACAAACTAATGTTTGGACCCACTGAATTATGTCCATTATAAAATTACCCATTTGTCCGCAGCAATGGCTAGTGATGTTAAGACGAGTGGAAATATCACGCTTTATTCCGATCGATTACGAGTATGAAATCAAAAAAATTAAGGAAGACATAATAAAAAAATCTTTGCCTAAATGTATGTATAATTTGAAATTAGGGTTGATAACTGATATGATAAAACTAATAATTTATAAAAAACACACCATTGAAATTTTTATTTTTTTAAAATCTTAATATACTTTAAGCCAAAATTTATTTTAAAATATTGACTACATAGAGTAAACTTAAATGTAAAATTTTACAAACAATTCCAATGCACTCTTCATTCTCAATACAACCTAACAAAAATTATTTACAATTTAAAGGAAAATCTAAAATTAATTATTAAGATCCTCCTAACGATTATCTTACTCAAACAATCTTAGTGCTTTGTGCAAGATCTGTGCACATCTAGACGTCTGCCGAGTCTCGAAATGTAATACTGTTCATCTACTACACCACACGTAAACAACTTACGACAAAACTGCAAACAGCTGAAAACAATAAACATATTCTAATATGTTAAAAAACAAACATGTGAAAATACAGAACTCTGTGCATTGACAGTATAAGACGTATAGTATCAAATCCATAAGGTAATCAAATGTGAATTGCACAATAAGTCTTCCTTGTTCGGTCACGTAACATACTTTGGGCAGTTCTGTGTTGGGCTGTTAACTGTTTGAAAATGATTGTCAAGTTTATTTTATATGTTTCATTGTAAATATTAAAATAAGTTGCAATAAAAATTAAAACTGTCAGTAATTCATCTTAATGTAAAAAATTGGTTGGATAAAACGAGAAAAATAATTTAAACATGAAATTACAAAGCGGCAACAGAATATTATCAATTGCACTTGTGAAGCCCTAAGTTCCTCTGCAATAGACTATTTCAACTTTGTAACAAATCAATAAAATATAAAATTAACAACAATGATTTGTGATGACTAGATTTAAAGTTCGCAAACTTTCTATTTCTTCCCTAGTTTCTAGCAAACCGATTACATATTACCTCATGTACACTAAGATATTTGTGCATAATACTTTCAATTATAATACAAGTTATTGTAAAACTAGCAAATTTTAATCAAACCGATATTTCACGCAACACTTTCTAATCAGTACAGAACTTTATTAGATCCATAGAAAACAATTGAAATTGATAACTTTACGACATAATGAAGAAAACAAATATCCAACGCTATAGAAATCACACAGACCATGTTGTGGGTTAGACAGTTAACTTGCTCACAAAGATACATGGTATGAGGGCGACAGCAATCCACATCAATACAAACATGAGTTATAAACAATAGAAAACTCTCAGGTCAAAACACCCGGGGAAACAATATTGAACACAATACAAATGTTCTTTTCATTAAAAATGCATATGTATTGCTAGATAGAATACGCCGATAAACCGATCAAAATCTCACCCATGACGCCACACAGGGATAAGTCTTTTACGGGGATTGCACACATACAATAACAATACTGTTTCACACGACAAATCGTCTGTAATTGGAGAAATACTGTGAATTTGTACCTAAATAAATTACTACAAGTCAAGCGCAAGCAAGCGATTCTGACTCGTGTAACATGAAATCACAGTTTCCTCTATAGAAAGAGACTGAAATATTCCCTGTTATTCCAAGTTCTAGTATGAGCTTTGTCTAATACTTTCAACTTTAGACATTCCAAGATGACATCAAACTCTTTTGTCATAAGTACTGAAACTAGTAACGAAAAAATAAATTTATTAAAAGATAACAATAACAATAAAATACTCTATATAACCAAACTTTATAAACATAATACACAAGGTTCAACCAAGACAAAAAATTTTGTGGTCAACAATAAAAATATTCCCGTCATTTCGTTTTTACGACTAAAGTTTCAGCAAAATAACATACATGTTACGATAGGCAGCCTGTAGCATAAACTAAATCTCGACAGTTCAACGTAACTAGACTGGTTTGATACGATGACACTAATTTGGTGAAAGTTTGTGGTGGTGAGGTTTTCTACGAGGTGGGGCCGAAGTTTCATCGCACGTCAGTGATGTTGTGCTTCGATCCAAAGATCTTCTCCAGTTGGCTCTCGTAGTCGTCTATGTTGCGTTTCATTATCTCCATGCACGGCCCGAGAAGTCGCTCAAACGCCTCCACATCCAGAACTGTAACAATACAGGTTGATAAAAAAAAGTTATTTAAGTTTAGTTTTAACACTTAAATAAAAAAGGGTTATTCAGTGAGTAACAAGACAAACTGTTTATATTATCTCGATTACTAATAAACATTGAAAATGTTATTAAGATCAAATTACCATTTAGGGGACAAACCTTAGAATTGCGTTTGACAACCAGGGTTCTACCTCGAATTGGGGCAATCCTCAGGCTGTACATGGATGTCCTATTTTATTCATAATTTGCTAAATTTTAAAGGTAAAGAGATTGTGACATGACTGATTTCTGACAAATTTCTACTTGTTATTTTTTTGAACAAATGAGTTATTGATTTATTAAAATATTAAATGATAGGGAATTTGGCAGAAATTGTTAAAGAAATTGACAGGAAAGCAAGCTTACCTTTAAATAAATAATTAATCCATAGAGACACATATTGAACTACATAAAAGTACTAGAGACTTTTTCACCACTTTTAAGCCTCCAGTGGTTGAAAAAGATCTCAGTGAAAAATTTCTAATTTTGTGTTGTTTATATGTGCCTCTACTCTGTATGAACTTATTTAAAAGGTAAGCCTGCTTTCCTGTCAATTTCCTTAACAATTATTGATTTATAAAGCAGCATTACAATCTATGATTATCACATGAATTTTCACACATTGAAGGTGAGAGTTTGAGTGTTCATCAGAAAGTTTCAAAATTATCCTGGTAGTTCTGTGATACATATAATAAACAGCTAAACATGATTGAACCCGCATGTATTACAGTCAAGGTTTACTCACAAGCTAGTTTAGTAGTCCCGACAGCGTAGGCTGACGCAGCTCGTGGCTTGTGAGTTACAAGTGCCAACTCTCCAAAATATCCACCCTTGCCAATCTCCTTCACCTGTCCAACATATTGGCAAAAATTACTGAGGGTACTGAACCTGTTTCTTAAAATGTAGCCAGTTAGATTAAAATAACTCGTACTGTTCGGTAATTTTTCAACATAATTTATTCCTCACTTGATGGCGTTTTCTCCTATGCATAAACAGAGATACTCACCCAAAGTTAAAAAGTAACATTATAAAACACAATAGGTGCTTAGTAATAATTATAAATTCTTTGGGACAGAGACACCGTGCTGTAGCCGTGTATTTTAAGCTGTATGTGAATGCTAGATGAGGTGAGTGTAGAATGGAGTGAGATGATCTGTGTAGCTGTGTTGCTGTAAAATCCTGCTAATCCAGCATCTGATGGTCCGGCACTTTCAATAATACAGCATCGGTCTAAATTTCTATAAAAATCTGTGTTAAGTTATATTATTAATTTATCCATGTTTTGCATCCTGGATTGATAAAGAGTACTAATAATATGTTAAATACCATTTTACGTCTTCAATCCTAGTCGTCTTTTTCTGATGATATAGTTTCGGGGCAAATAGTCCCATTGTCAAATCTTTTGTCTTGTTAATTACTGTTAAAAGCATTGGTCGTTGCATTCCACATTAGTACATACACACACTGTCACACGAAACATTTACACCACAAAAGAATTGAACATTTAATACTTTTTGGCCAGGCTAAACAAATTACTAACATCATGTGGACCGGTACACTGACTCATGTGGTCCACACAATGTTGGTGATTAATTTAGGCCGGCCAAAAAGTGTTAAATGTTAAATTGTTTTGTGTGACAGTTAGTGTATGTACTACATGAGAAATGCAACGACCAATGCTTTTAACAGTAATTAACAAGACAGAAGATTTGACAATGGGGCTGTTTGCCCCGAAACTATAGTCATCAGAAAAAGACGACTAGGATTGAAGATGTAAAATAGTATTTAACCAATTATTAGTATATATTATATATTATTAAGTTTGGCAGAGTCAGGAATGATCCAAAGAGTCGGGAATTATTTTCCGATGTCAAGAGGGATTGGACAAGTCAAGAGCGATCGCCAAAAGCTCTCAAATTAGTGGTATTATTGCTAGTTTTGCAATAACAGCTGTTTTAAGTAGGCTAGATGTTCAGTAATCCATAACGCCAAAATCCCTATATCCCTACCGTATACTGTAGTCAGGAACATTTTATTGAAAGTCCATCGATCAAGGACAACTGGATTTTCAACCACCAAAAAGCTACTTTTCTCGGGATCGAACTGGCGACCTTTTAATAACTAGGTAAGCATAACTCAGCTACTTGGCTAATTAGAGTGTAATAAATGCTTATAATTTATAATTGTAGATTCAACATACTCCCTCATGAACTTATCCCTTTGAATCAGCTAAAAATAATGTTAAGCTATGTTTCAGTCTTGTAGGGTGTGTTTTATGTTTAAGTTTATTATTTATTTGTACTTTTACACTGAAACTAATGCAGGTATCATCAGGAAGTAGCAGCACCATCAAATTTACTCTAAAATAAGAAAACCCTATTTATAAATCATCCCCTCATTTAAACCTCACTGGACATAATAATAACAAATAGGTTTCAGATTTTTTAGCATAATGAGAAGTCTACTCGGATTATCCAAAGTCCATAGTATCTAATCTAGACATTATTAAATCAATACTTCAGCTAAGCAATATATTTACCCTTAATGTTATTATTTTAATATTGATAAATTATTAATGAAACTACAATATTTTTATTCTTACTTAAAGTTCACATACATTCATAGCAACATTTTTAACTGACTTTGAAATACCTGTATGTATCAATGCTAACAGCAAACTTAACAATTGTCTGTTAATAACATTTATCACAATTCGTTGACGTTTAAATAATTTTAATTTATGTCTACATTTTTAAAATACTTGTGTGTAAACTTTATGGCGGTCTACAAGATTGAGTGGTTATCAACACAAACATTTTGCTTCTTAAAGGTCATTTGGAAAGAGTGAATTCCCAATCCACACAACACTGGACTACTGAATACAATTACGGGGATATTGTGTCTATGTGGGATAAGTGATTGCCAATAGCATCTAAAGTTAGCTACATATAAAACTCAAACAACTACAAATCTAATGCTCTTATAGTTTTATTGATTAAAACCATAAACTTTAATTGAATCAATATAATCTGTTTTCAATTTCACGTTTCCTGTCTAGTACAGGTATTATGGGAGATGGTTTTGCTTAACATTACTGGAAACATCACATTTGATACCATACGGTTTGCATCAGCTGTAGTTGTGTCCGTCACGCAACGGATACATTTTAATAATTTTGTATACTTTTGTGTTTATTTTTCTATCAAGATAGATTAATATTTTTACTATGTAAGGAAAAATAATTGTAGGAGAAAAACAGTATAAAAAAGTAACAAGTAAAGAACCGTTCTGCAAATCGTGATTTGTTTGAAAAAGTAATATCGTTGAAACTTTTATTTGAATTACTTGGTTTAGGATGCTCCTTACTTTATAATGAACATGGGATGAATGTATGTTTTTACTCAAAAATATACTTTATTATTCCTGCGAGTGTCTGCATTATGACAACAGGAAGGTAGGAAAAGAAATTAAATAATAAATAATTGATTCACATTATAACAGAAACTTTCTAAGCTTATTAAATATTTAACATTTTCTGTTAGGGAGTAACTTAGTAATAAGTGTCCAAATGTCTTGCCACAACAAACTACTGCAAGAAGCTACACAAATCAAAATCCGAGTCACACAACTAGTAAATACATTGTGAAGGTTACAACCAAAGTCTTACCGTAGCCTTTAATTCCTGAACAGCGTAAAGCACCACAGTAAAGTTTATATTGAAAATAAAAGTAAAGTCAAACACAGGCAAAATGCTACCAAACAAAACCATGATACAAAGCAATGGAAAATACAAAAGGTAAATTGGTACGTAGATAGATAATTAAGTTAAAGTTAGAAAAAGTCAAATATACATTGTTAAACAAGAGCGTATTTATTAAAAGAGACATCTATTATACTCCGTTCAAACAGCCGTGGCACCTGAGGGATTAGGAGGCCCAAGGGTTTCCATGGGGTCTCCTAATCCGTCAGGTGCCACGGCTGTTTGAACGGAGTATAACTCCTGTAACAAATGTATCAGAGGACTGAAATTATGATAATACTGTAACAAACAACAAGCAAACAAAATGGTTGTTTATCAAAATACATGCAATGTAAGAAATAAAACAGATGTTTAACAAAACAAAAAAATAAGATCACTGTATAGTTATGTTTACTTGAGTGGGCAAATTTAATGAGGTAATCTCACGTGGTATCTGAGAGTTGTCAATGGAATAAAATTTAGACTATAATTTTATGACATTATAGTAATTCTAATTTTGCAAATTTAGCCATCTTTTGAACAGTTGCTATAATTTAAAATTAAAAAAAAAGTTCAATTATCAAACTTGAACTATTTTAATACAGTTGATAGTCAATAATCTGACACTTATGGGACCAAAAGTGTGACGAATTACCAAAAAAGTGTTATAATTAAAAATAATACACAAGTTACATTGAAGCTATAAAAATCAACTTAACTTATGAGGGCCCAATATTTACACTAAGCCCACTAAGGGTTCAAATTGATAACTTCAAGTATATTTTTATACAATGAAGCAATGTTTATTGAACAAAAAACTAGATTCAATCATTAACTCTATCGTACAGCCATATCGGGTAGGCTTGAATAACAATAGGTATGAGCTGAATTCAAATTAATAAGGCTCAACTGTTCTTCCAAAGGTTAAAATACTAAAAAGTGACTATGTATTAAATACTTATGCCAATTGGAGAAATAATCAAGCGTAGGGGCCACTGATTTGGCCAAGAAACCACAACGGGAAAGACGTGAGACTCCCCTTACAACGCAAAATTAAATTACAGTAGACAGCCATGTGCTAATAACCCATTTATCTTAGCTTTCGGTAATCAAGTGTATTAAAACTAGTGGTAATTATTAAGCACCAACTGTACACGATGAAAAACTTAAAAATTCAACAAAGTCGCAAAGCAAACTTTTAAGAAGCTTTACCTTAAAAAAAAATGTATGTGTACCAACCTGAACTTCTTTGCCTTCTTCATTGAAGATTGTGATCTTCACTGTTCCAGCCTCCACGAAGTACATTCCATCTGCAGCGTCACCCTGCTTGATAATAAGATCTCCATCTTCGTAGTTCTTTGGGATCAAAGCATCGGCTAGATTTAACCTCTCGTACGACTGAAAAAATTGTATTCCGATTAGTTGATGCAGAACTCCTTGACTGTTATTAGCACATTGACAAACGTTTTGTTTTCTATCTAAAAAAACAAGACAGGACATAGCTGAAAGCTATTGAAGGTTGGGGATTCGTATATGAGTATAAACATTAATACTGAATAGTGCTACTGAATACGACGTGAGTCTAAAGCACAGAGTAGAGACCTTTTTTTCACCCAATAAAACCCCCATAAACATAAACCCAGGGTTGCCACCCGTCCCAATTCTGTCGGGACAGTCCCAATTTTGGTTTATTATGCCCGTATTAAGAGTATGTTTATCCGGGAGGGGAAGGGGGCCCGATTTTTCCATTACCTAAGGTGGCAACCTTGCATAAACATCCGTTCCCTCGGGTTTTATCATCTCATTAGAATAAACGCAAGTTTCTACCAAATTTTGTCAAAATCAGATCATTTTTTGCTCAAGTTGTTGTGTTAACGGACACATACAAAGGTATTTGAATGATTGGTGTTTTTGGCCTCTAGCGACTACAAAACGAAAAAGTAAATACAGAAACCAGGTCTTACCAAGAGGCCTACGGTTATAGCTTATTCTCTAGATGGGAAATTATAAAATTTTTTTACACTAGTAGAGGACTAGAAAACAATGATCAAGGACAGTTTAGCCCATTTTAGAACTAAGCTTCTGGCTTTATTCAGGACCTAACTGGCGACCTTGATCACTGGGCTAGCACGATATACACTCAGCTCCATAGCTAGACTACAATAATGTGGTGTGTTGCTAGCCAAGTGTTTAGAAGCAGTCGCAAGTGTTTGCGAGAAGGACAGGTTTGATCCCAACATATACACGATTTTCATGGGTTTTAATCGCTTTCCTTAAAATATGTTAGCGATTTTTCAATGAAAATGTCTCTGTTGTAGACAAAAAAATTAAATAAAGATAAACAACATTTACAATTAGGACTCAAAGAATAAAAAAATAATATTCTCAAAATATAGTTCGACAATACCTGCAGCGTTTTGAGCATCGGAACGCAATCGATCAGTGTTTCATACATTTTCCTCTTCTTAAACGCGCTCTTCAGTATGATCCGGCGGAAGGTCTGACGATCCAGAGCCCACAGTGATCCCTCCGATGCGGCCTGGATGGTAGCAGCTCTCGGCTGGTTGTACAACAAAGCGAGTTCTCCGAAACTGCCCTTGTCGTGATACGTGTGAATCAACTTCTGACTGCCGTCATCAATCTTTACAAAAGCGTTATACGTACCCCTGCACAGGTCACAATTGTATTATAACTTTGGTATTATTTTACACAATTACACAATATATAAATTTTAGTTATTGTTTTATGTTATTGGTATGAGTTGTTATAAAATTAAGTTATTGGTATTTGTTGTAATAAAACTATGTTGTTTTTGTTTGTATGTTTGAGAATCAATAATTTTGGATTTGTTATTTAACATATGACTTTCTGAACACGAAATTAGAATGAGCATTTCTAGAATCAATATTTAGAAATAAGTTTATTCAAAAAATTACAATGATAGGAGATTTTAAAAATTGGATTCCTATATAATCTCATTCACACATAATCTAAAAAAGGTTACCTAGGCAGTGTGTTATTAAAACGGATAAATGGTTTTTCCAATCAACTGTACATAGCTTTTAAGCTCTTGGAGTTATGTAATAATGTTTAAAGTTTAATCATCTCTATCGATTTAACATTAACTAGGACTCAATATGTTTATGATATTCACCCCATATACTTGAAAAAAGTAAGCTAGAATCAGTCAAAATGTTGTCTTATTTACATGTACTAATTTGATAGGAGCTAAACTTGTCTCAAATGTGGTATGAATACATCAGTAAAAAAAAAACAAAAACGTTTAATACTTTTTATAACCAAATTTCCATTTTTTGGATAAAAAAGTGCTTAGAACGCCCTTAACTAAGAAATTAAAAGTTACAAAAGTATTGACATCTAAGTTAACACTTGTAGAAAGTGTATATTGCATTTTTCTCAATTTATGGTGCTCAATTTACCTGTTATTATTTAAGTCAACCCATTTATTGGAATTCAACAGAAACAACACACATTAGCTCACACAACACTTTACAAGAAACATTACTTACGATTGAATGACATAAAAATTATCTCCATCATCGCCCTGTTTGATGATATAATCTCCGTTTTTCACCTTCTTCTCGAACATCGCATCCAAAACTTCATGCATTTGTTCCTTAACAACAATAACAACATTGTTATTTTACATATTTATTTTATAGTGTTACTTTTAAATTTTTATCAAGTTTAGACTGGTTAGTTGTTATGTATATAAATATTGAAGAAAAGCAGAATAGTTAGTCACAAGATAAAATGTTTATGTAATACAAAAGGTGTGCAAAAAGAGATAAACATTTTTAGTTTGTGGATAAAAATCACCCTTTTGTTATACTGCGGAGAAATTAGGCTAATGTTTTCAATTCATCATATGGGTAAAGTAATTCCTTTCATTCCTACGTCAAATAGAATCAGCTGAACTTGAGGAGCTGTACATTTGTCTGACTGTAACATTTGAATTTACCAAGTGTATTTAGACACATTTTGAATTTATTGTGTTGGCGGAGTAATACCTGTTGCATCTAAATGACTGTGATACCTGCTCGTAAATAATACTAAAGAGCCAGAACAATTTTGGGATCTTCTTTAATAAGAGAAACAATAAACAATTGATTGAGTTGTGATACCACATGGCTTAAAACAGTGCACTACAACAAAAAAACATTATAACACAGAACAAAAATGTCTTTTCGGCCTTCAATGACTTACTAACCACCCTCGTTCACTAAACTAGTTGGGTCAAAAAAGTCACATTAGATCTTAATTACAAAGTGTTTTATTTCCTATTAATTTGTTCATGACTGTGACTGTTTAATTTAGGTAGTGTTTAATGACTGTTGTTATTGTTTCACACGTGTCATGGCTGATAAGACATGGCTCATGGAACCAGCAAAAGTGGGTGTTGAAGAAACAGTGATTTGTACAAACAGTTTTAAAAGTGAGTGTTATTGTAAGACAGAAAACTGTGAAATAAAACAAGGAAATTGATAGGAAATTTTGACAAAGCTCTTCCAGCCAAATTAAGTATTTTAATTGGTAAAAGATAAATTTAACACTACAGCAACATTATCCAAGAGGTGAACACGTCTAATCACTATCACAACTCCTGAAAACAAAATAGTTGTCGCCTAAGTTCAAACCCAAAAAATGTTAGATTTTAAAATGTACATTCTTAGACAGTCTATAGGAGGATTACTCTGATCATCAAATGTAATTTTGAAGGGTAATGTTTTAAATGATGAACCTTAAGGTACCAAGATTATCCAAATAATTTTGGGGAGCTATGAAACAATTTAAACCATCATTTATAGGCTATATAGATTTAACATCCTTATGCATTCCTATTTTTGGTAAAGAAAAATTAATTTCCAATCAAATATATTTTGTTACTGTGAACCTGCTTTTGCACCCATCTGTTTTAGCCAGGCTATACAAATTAGCAGAGGAAGAATATTTGTGATTCACCATCATTAATGAGTTATTGTTTTAAGTTCAAACTATTAGGTTTAATCACACTTTTTTAGATTTATGACAAGTAAAATGATGTGACTTACCTTGTCTAACGATCTAAAGAGTAGAATTTTCTTTACGCTTTCTGCTAGCCCTTGCCGTTGTTCGTCAGATTTTGGGAAAATCACCTGAAAAGATTGAAAGATAGTTAACTTATAGTGTGATTAAATTGAGCAACAAATGATTTATTATTTTGTTGCATCATTTACCTCAATATAATTTTGAAAGTAAAAGCACAATATACTTTTGCCAACAAGTTTTAACACATAATGTTCTACGAGGGGTTTGAGATAGTTAATGCAACACTAGGTTTTCAACTAGTCCACTAAATGTAGTTCAAGCCTTTTTAGATCAAAACGACAACCTTTGGATCACACATCAAGTACTTCTCTTACTTGATTTATTCCTCATGATTTTAATACTTGTCTACTAGGAAACCTGACTGAAAAACTCCTACCAATATAAACTTTTTAAAATCAATAAGACAAATGAAAAATGATGTTCAGTATATATTTTAACTGATTATAATTACTGCTACCAAGATTATATCATTGCCTACAGTGTATGGTTGTGTACTAAATTGTTATTTCCAGTTGTGTTAGGTTACCTAACAAACTAGGACCTAAACTTGCTACACAGCACTAGAATATTTTTTATCTTTTGCCTATTGGTAATCATAATTTTTTTTATTAGAATAAATTAACTATAATTTTGTTTAAAAATATGATAATTAAGGTAGACCCCCTTTCTTTAAGTCCATTTTAATGTGATATTTTGTATAAATAAATTAATGAATGAATTAAATAATAATTATGTTTATTTCTACATAATGTATACAGGAAACAAAAACATTGGATGGACACCAGTCTAAAGCTGTTTGGTACATGATGGTAGTTACGTAGCGCGTACACTGTAACTACAGGCTCTACCAGCGGTGGACGCCAGAACCTATGCTAACCGGAGCACAGCTGTAAGTCTATATTTAATTCTCTTTGTCTGTGGTATAACAGTTAAGTACCTACAGCACATGTGTGATTTATAGACAACCATTAATTTTGGTACTAATTTCTGATGGTTAAGAAATTTTAGTTGGGACAAGGGTTCAGTCACGATTTGTTTGAATAAAAAATTGTGCTCTATATTGCAATGTCAATTGATCGACAAAGGTATAGCAGGAATGAGCTGTTTTACACCTCATTTGAGGCAAACTTCAATTTTCCAGACATCAAACGTCATTTCCAAGACCACTGAAATTGTAAATACCAAAAGACTTTACTGTCAAATCTGTCATCAAAACAAATTGCTACGAATAACATATATTTCAAGATCAAAGGTGGCATGTTAAGACACTGTCTCCAACAGTAAACTGAGAAATACATGGAAATAAACACTTGCATTGCTGCCAACACTAGACAATATATTGGCAACATTTCAGGCTATGATGTTGGTAAACAGTTGCCTTCATTGCTTTCAGGTTTTTAATAGACATTCGACTAGTTTGCACCATTACAAACCCTCTGTGACCTATCTATAAACTCTACATCTGCTTATTTTTTTAGCACAGACGAGTGAGAAAAATCCAATTAATTGGTATGAAAATTTTGTATGAAGTTTGTGATATTTTTAACCATGGATTTGCCTAGCCTCTTGAGCCCCATGGAAGTTATCAAGCAAAGCGAGGCGTGGGTCGGTACAATACAAGAATGAACTGACAACTTAAGGACAAATTTAGTGGTAGAACAGGGACATGAACCGACAACATCGTTGCTTTGTATTCAAATGCTGGAAAAGAGTTAACTTAGTTTCACAGTATAGAGGTACGAGGTTTTTTTCCTTTTTTTTACAAATATTTGCAATACGTACAATGAATGTTGTTAACGTGGTGAGTTTGGTAGCTCAGTCAGTAGCACGGATTGTGAACAAAGACCGCAATATTGTGGTTTTGTTTGTTACCACATATGATTTATTTATTTTTGCACTGTAGTAGATTACTTAGTATGTACGATATATACATTTAAAGGATTAACATTTCCAGATGCTTATTGTGAAGTTCTTTCTATTTCTCTGGATGATAAACAAACTTAACTAACAGTATCTTCAATAGTATGTAACAACAATATTGATTTACTCTCTGTTAGAACATAATGAATGTAATGTGGTAAGTTACAAAACAAACACAACTATATGGTTATGTCACAGAAACAAGATAAAGCATTTGACAAATTGCATGTTTTAGAAGCATGTTGTTTTTGCACCAGTGGCAACAAAATGTCAGTTATCAATGATTAAACTATTTGTTTTTGCTGTTTTGTTTTCAATTTACATTAGTATAAGACTGTAAATTGATATCTAATGTTCTGATTTTTTTTAATTTCTCATATTTTTGTAGGACCTTTATTAATTCATGGCAATAATTATTTTTTTAGGAGAATTTGTGCTAGAGTCGTATTTTACATAGGCTAGAATGAAAAAAGTGTATTCTACATTAAAAAAAAATGTAAATCTAACTAGTTTTCAATATATTTAAGGCTTTCATATTGTTTGTTAGGACTAAACATTACTATTCTTGAAATTTTACAGAGGAAAGAAGTTTATAGATTGAAAATAACACACAATTAATTAGTAAGATGATGGCTTAGTCTGCAAAATGGTAGTTTAAGAAACCGTGGCAGCATCACAGAGCTCTTCTTAAAATTTATCAATTCAGTTCTTTCCTTTGATTTGCTTGATTAGTTCCCAAAAAAGCGTGAGGTTCAATGTTCATGTTCATTCTTTTTACTTTTTACAATACAATATAATACACTGCGCTTTTAAGTAAAATAATCCAAAATTTGTAACACTAATCAAGTCAAAAACGAAAACATACAAGATTTGTTTCCATATGGCCCTTATATTAATTAAAATATTCCTACTATTGTTAACTTTTTCCAAGACTACCGACCTAAGACATTTCTACCGTAAGACATCTCATCTACAAGGACCAGCTGTAGCCAATTTCAGCATGTGTTGGTTCAAAGTGGAATGGAATGCTTAGTTCAATCTGCAATCAAAGCTACTCCACTGGATGTTTCCTTATCTTATTACCCTATTTGTTATTGTTATTTAGTTACCTTATTTGTATCGTCGTCATCAGCTTCAGGATCGTAAGCCTCAGCAAACACAGACTTCCTCCTGGTGTTGAACCTGGGTGCCGGCGGTTCTGTAACAAACCATAATCTTCATTGGTAATAAACATTGATGTATACCAAAATGACATTGATTAATAACATCTGTGACTTTAATAAACCTAAAAGTAAAGTAAAAGTAAAGTGTGTAATCACTGATTATCATCATCAGCCTAAGAGTTTTGTCGCAACAGTATGAATTGAATGTGTTGCTAGATTAAGGTTAGTGTTTCTAACTAGTTGCCAAATTTTGCTCCGGTATTGTGCATGTTGTGTTTTCTAACGCCAGAAATGTTGGCAAGGGTATTTTGCTAGAACTGTGATATTAAATTTTGGAGTTAATTTATGTGTCAGTTTGTTTCCACAACTTGCCTCTTTTTAAGAAGTTCTTGAAATCCAAATAAGCGGCGTTTGCGTTCTACACGATTTCATGCATCTCAAATAGGCTAGTTCTAGTTTAATCTAACAAAAAATTTTGTTTGTTGCTATATGACAAAAGAAAGTATTTTAACTAAGTTTCAATTTAAGGAATCTAATCCTAAGAAGGTTAGAGTAACTGAAATAAAATCGTTAAACCTATGAAAGACGTTTACACAGTATCACTGTCATGATTTAAAATCATTTTAATTCACCAACGCATGATAAACTATTGCAAAAATAGTCCAGGGGCTTGTGTATGTATGCTGCTCGGTCAGTTGCCTGTCTCGCAACCCCGCCACGGGCCCCTGCCGAATTAAACAGTAAAAAAAACGCATTTACAGTAAAACCTTACTAACTCGACAGTCAATAGCTGACAGGCGCGCGTCGAGCTGGCTTTGTATTACTAGTGTGTTTGTTCAAATTATCAAACAATTTTTTTAGAACATTTAGTTTTAATAGTTGATTATTCGACATTTCTTTGAGTATTGTTTACTCAATATGTAAAAAAACTCATTTAAGTAAAACATTCATTAGTATTCATTTATTGAACCCCATTACATATTGTAATGTTCTGGATAACTCGAAAACCCCCAAACACGACAATCTCTGGGTCCACAAGTTGTCGAGTTAGTGAGGTTTTACTGTGCCTGACTCTTGTGACAGTTGGCGCAGAAAAGCCCACCCGCATTCGGCAACTGAATTCAGTAGCTAAACAAAACCAGCCTTTAGTGGTTAGGAGCTTGGGACTTGGTACAAGAGGGATGGGTTTCATCTCTGGCATACCCAAAAAGTTTGAGGGTTGTGGACATTACGTGAAAGCATTTAATAGTCATTCATCTATACAAAATGATGACTACTAGCAGTGGTAATAGAAGATAAAAAAAGGTACTTCTGTCAAAAAAATACCGGTACATCAGTTTCAGGGATATTAATCAAGATAACATTTCATTATCTCCTGACATAAACATCAAAGTCTGACTTTAGAAGCATAGGCTAGTAAACAACAACAAATACACAGGTACAGTATTCATGTCAGCTTACTATTTAGTTAGAGTCTATTACAATTTATTGTAAAAGTGTATTAACAAATGTTACAGCATGTTCAATCTAAATTTGAGTCTCTAAAGTTTTGTAGATAAAACTATAAATCTTTTAAACGAAATATTCATTGGGGAAAAAATAACTTCAAAAAGCATTGAGTAAACGTTATATTGAGTTTGGAAATACTAAATAAATAAGTGGGTAACAAAGTGATTGTAGTGCTACCCTTCAAATCTTAAAATGGCTGGTACAATCCCAAGCCAGTGAAAATATTTGGATCCAGTTACCATTATTTTTGTTAAGCTATTAAGAACCAAATTTTGTTAGTTTTGATTACTATAGCAATTGTATGAGAACATTTGGAAAATAAAGCTAACAGCGGAGAAGGAACGAGACCAAAGGGAGGCCTTGAAGAAAGATGATAGACGAGACACAAATATATGCAGTGTAATGAGGGTTGAATTGGCATGAGTAAAGAGGCACGATAACTAAAGACAACAAACGTAATATTATTAATTATTCAATATTAAAAAAGAGTTAACATTTACCAATACCTATATTAGTTGAAGGTTATGTTTTGTTTAGTTGTAGGCCTATGTACTAGTAAGTTTTTATATTGTTTTAGTAATTTATTTTTAGAGATTCCCTTTTCCCTCAACTCACCTTCATAATGAGCACAATCAGTTTCATCACAATCAGACATTACAATTAATTTCAAAATAAATAATTATAAAACTTTCAAAAATAAAATAAATCTTCCAATAAACAAATACAAAAAACAAATTCAAATCTCAACCATGTGATCAAATAGACCTTTATTTATCCAGATGTACATAAAACTGACTCATAACCAAAGGTATTTAAATAAACAACTCAGATCTTAGTATGCCAAACAAAAACAGACCATAACTACCATCCTAATTTGATGTGTTTTTTTACAAAACTATGATGAAGAAGTGCAAATAGCATTCAACGGCTCATGAATGAGCGAATGCCTAACAATAACCATGACATTGGGAGAACACATTACATCTAAGACAAAAGGCAATGAAAACGTTTCTGTGAGAGAGTGGCAAATGAAATCACCGTGGAGACTGGTAGTGGGCAGGTAATAACTGTAGCTCCCACCTGTCAACCTACACACAAACAGGTGGAGGTTATTGTGGCTCTGGCTGACATATCCCACATCTTGGTGGAAAATCCCATTTTATCCCACAAATAAAAAAAAATTCCCACTGAACCACACATTGCATACCAATTCGAGACTTCATAAACTTCTCCATTGCTACAAAAGGTGGAGGTTATGGTGGTTGCTTGTTTGGGCTAGATTTTCACTTGGTGGATAAATTCCTATTTTACCCCACAAATTGGATAACAAATTTGTTTCATCCCGTGCTTCCAAAAAGTACCATCCATAACTTTATTGTTACGGATAAAAATCAGGTTTATGTATAACCTAGTCAATGCATTTTTTTTTTGTCCTAGGACGCTGGGCTCGAGCCCGGAATTGTTTTTCACATTACTTCAGGCTAGACCTAGGGGTTGCGGCATTATTAAATAGATAAAATCCATTGGTGATTTGGCAGGATTTGAATCCGGGACCTCTGGAACCGATGACCTGCGCTCTAACCACTAGACCAGCTCGCTCCCCTAATGCAAGATAGTATAAACATCACATTGATGAGGAAAATAAAATTTTTACCCTCCAGATTGTGTAAAAAATCACATTTTATCCCACTATGTTATATATCACTATTTTAGCCAATTTCAAATGTAGGGATTAAGCTTTTACTGCAGGTCTCATGGTAAGACCTGGAACCGGGACCACTTATACTTTTTTTGTTTTGATGTCCCCAATGGTGAAAACTGTTTTATCAAATTGAAGTAACAAAAATAAATAAAAACTCCCATTATATTTTAGAACGTTTATTTAATTCTTTTGTTAAAACAAATAATCCCACTTTTCCTTCAACTAACCTCTCCTTACTTAGCACCAAACCAAACTTAATAAGTATATCAATAAAAATTGTAGCTTTTAAAGAAGTTCTCATTACAAAAAAAATTCTGCATAAAATAACAAATATTTTATCATACACTTCTCATAGACTAAGCGTACAGTATTTCGGGTCTAACGAAAACTTTTAACGCTGACATTCGAGTGGTAATATTTAACGCTAGTTTCACAATGAACACTAATACCTCCGGTGTTAAAATACCTCATGAGTGATTTGCAATTCATGCAGACTCCAAATGAGTGGTTGACTCAATCACTGTAATATCTGTGCATCAACACACTGTCATAAGCGTATCTCTCCACACAACACTTACTGTTTTGATTCTTTTTGGAGCTCAACCCATCATCAATAATAATGTTAGGTTGTGGGGACTAAAAAGGTTTTCTGAGTAGGCTACCATACACCGTCCTCTTAGTAATTTTTATTGAATAACGTGAATGTTCTGGAAACTATCCTCGAATATTGAAACCGATGACCAATCCAAATAAAACGTTAACACAAACAAATCTGTCACTCAAAGAGAGGACAGATTCAGAGGCAAGTTATCTAAATGTTTGATTCAAACAAATTTATCAGTTGGGTTCAACAATTAAAGCAGATGATGTTTATAACGTTTCAAATAGGCTACAGAGATCTTGAAAGATCAGATACACCTACTGGTTTCTCACATAATAGTTAATCTCAGATTTAACCTTCAGAATTACTTAGTCCGAAATCATGTAGCCTGAATATGTAAACCCAAAAGAATTGTAAAACACATATTTTATACCTTGTATAAAGTAAACTTTACATAATGGTCTATTGATAGTTGGTGCAAAAATGGCATTTTCAAGAGTTTTATCTACTTGTTCCGGTATATACAGGAACTGGTGAAATATCAGGGAGTGGATTTTTTATCAGCTGTGTGGCATATATTTATCTCCACAGCATAGTGGGTGTGTCTGTTAACATACAGGATATAAACAAGATAACGTTTGGACTCACTAAATAATTATATGACTCTTAAATCAAATAACAAATATAAGTAAGCTTCATACAAGACAATTATAAAATACAAGTGGTTTCTGCTTGTGTATCTGTTTTACGTTTTAAGTGAATGCAAAAACTAATAAACGGATACATGATGAAATTTTACCCAAATGTAAATTATGAACTCAGTCAGTACATAAGCCTTCACTACTTGACCTTAAAACTGTTATGGACTATGCCATGTGGACATCCAAGTTATCAATATGGAGCTTTGAAAAGTATATATTCGTTACCATTCTCTATTTACATTACATTGTTTATATTTCGATACAGTTATTATTTATAAATGTACATTTCAATATTGTAAGCCGCTTTTGGGTAAATGGTCTATTTGCTTCAGCTATGATTGTTCTTTGAAAACTATTGCTCATTAAAATGGTTATATTTAATCCGAACCCCCAAAACTCGACAATCTCTGGATCCACAAATTGTGGAGTTAGTGAAGTTTAACTGTAGTGTATATTCATTCAGATGTGAAGCACAGATCCAAACAACTAGTAAACATACTTCTTTTATGCCTACACACATTATTATCTGATAGTTAAAGCTATCACGATTATGTCCAAAGAAACGCATTCATGATGGTATAGATTTATCCTTGTTGCCGCCAGATCAGCGTCGGTGGCTAATGAACACCATATACAGGCATTGGTCAATTATGGTGAGAAATGTGCTGTTTCCCACCGACCTGTCACCACAAACTTGTGTCCAGTTTTCACCTCCACTGATTCCAGTCACTGCGTCTTATGTTCACCGAAACACTACTGTATCACTTTTGGTTTATTTTAACATTTTGACTATACCCTACTGTAAACAATCCCTGTGGATTTGATTCAGTTGAAATAAATCAAAAACAAATCAAAACATTGACAATTGGCAATAAAAAATAAAAAAATAGTAGGCCCACACAATTTTGATAGGAATTATAGATAGCAGTTTTTATTGGAATGAGAGCGTAGATAAATTAATATAAAATCATAAGGTTTAAATTAATAGAGATTTAGTAAACATCCATTTACATTATTGTGTATTATAGGCATTATAGACAGCAATTTTTATTGGAATGAGAGCGTAGATAAATTAATATTAAAATCATAAGGTTTAAATTAATAGAGATTTAGTTAACATCCATTCACATTATTGTGTATTGATAAGCCTGAGAATGGTGCATCATGCAATTCAAAACATAGATAAAATACTACAACTACGCAAAAGGGTGCTCAGACTATGGAGAAACTAGATAAATTACAAAAGAATAGCTTAAAAAAAATTAAAAAAAAATTTAGGACTATGCCTATTATTGGTCAATAGGGCGCCACTGGGCTAAATAAAAACATAAATTAGCTAGGTCCTAGAAACAATAGACTTAAGTCTTGTCTTATTTAAAATGCAAATAAACAACGTTTAAAGTTGATCTAAAACTTTCATAGTTTTCGAGATATAATCAAAAAACCCAAAATGCGTACCTTTACCCCCCCTTACCCCCTCCAACACCCTGGCTCACCACCTAGGAGTCAGGACTTTTGGTATGTTAACACCCTAAGCCCCCTGAACAAGTTTCTGAAGGAATCGAATAGTTACCTGCTCACGCACTCTACACATCTCGTTCCTTGACTGGACTATATTGGTTGACCAAAGTCAAGAATGAGGAATCATTGATAACTTTTAAGTGGCAATCTTGGAGTTTTAATTGGTTTAAACAAAATTTGATTTCCAGTTCAGAGTAATATCACATATTATTTATGAAAGGAAAAGAAAGCTCCTGTTTGAGAGTAATAATAAGGAGACTTTACAGTAGTACTGTTATTAGTATAGATCTGTTATGTGTTTTTGAAAATTTCAGTTGAGCAAGATCATGAGAAAACTACTGAGTAAGCCTAAGCTGTTCCCATGGTGGAAAACGTTTTGATTAAGATATCTTCTTATCTTTTTGATCCGGTCTGATTTCAGTGAAAGAATGATGATTTTGGTAAAATGACTTTATTTCAAATTGTCTTTACTTGCTTTTACCAGATGATTATTTAAATGATAATTAAAGTCAATTAGTCAACTGCCAATGTTTTTGGTTTAGGTTTTGTATACACAATTATTCTGTTTAGTTCATGAAATAAAATAAAGTTAGAGGTTTTTGTATGTAGGCCTATTAAATTTGTATAGGAAGCTTTCAACAGATGAGTACACTGGTGCTGTTCTGTTTAAGAGTGTCATCGCCTAGATTATTATCTATTTGATTTTAATGTCAAGAAGAAAAATATACATGACGGGATCTGTAAGTAAAATTTTAATTGGAAACTTAAAATGTTGGCGTTTACTGACAGAATTTGTTAAAACCCAATCATACAAAAGCGCTTTGATCTATTTTCTTTTATTAAACCAAACTTACTGGTTTTAAAGATTGAAAATATGAAAGTTAGCCTAATTAAACAATATGGACAATTTCTCAAAAGAAGA